GTCACATGGAGGCAGGGCTTAAAAGCCTGAATTTTGCCTGAAACTCTGACTGAAGAAGTCTCTTGGAGGAGAGACGAAACGTTTCATTAGAGAAGAACCTGTCCAGAAGACCTATACAATTTTTTTCTTTTTGATTTTTTTTACCTGGATTACTGAGATGCATCAGGACCTTATGTCTTAACTGTGTGTAGAAATGACTGAGGTAACGTTAGTTTCAAGTTGGATATTAAAGAGATTTACTCAAGATTCAGCTGAGTAATATTACATGGTCCAGCACTGCGATACGTAAAACTTTTATCAAGGAGAATAAATCCCATTCTCTCAAAAAGCTTGGGAAAAAAAAAATCTGTTTCAATCTATTTAAGGAGGAAGTTTGTAAAAAGGATGTATTAAGAGCAAAAATAGGACCAAAACTCATACAATCGCAAGTAAAATCTAGTTTCTTATTGAGTCTTTATTTCAGACTAATTAGACTATAAAACAAGCATTTTTATCCAAGCTTTTATCAAGGAGAATAAATCATTCTCTCAAAAAGCTTGGGTAAGAAAATCTGGTTCAATAAATTTAAGGGGGAGGTTTGTAAAGATGGATGTATTATGAGCAAAAAAAGGACCAAAACTCATAATCGCAAGTAAAATCTAGTTTCTTATTGAGTCTTTATTTAAGACTAATTAGACTATAAAACAGCATTTTTATCCAACTTTTCTCAAGTAGAATAAATCCTATTCTCTCAAAAAGCTTGGGGCGAAAAATGATCAATTTAAGGAGGAAGTTTGTAAAGATGGATAAGCAAAAAAAAAGACCAAAACTCATATAATTGCAAGTAAAATCTAGTTTCTTATTAATGAGTCTTTAAGACTAATTACACTATAAAACAGCATTTTATCAACTTTAAAGGCAAAAAAACTGATTGAACCCAGAGCACAGAATGAATGTATTACTTGTAGTACCCCTCCACTCCGCATGGGGGCGGTGTTAGCATCAGACATGACGCTGATTGGAAAGAGCAGAGCCAGAGGTTAAAGTTCGTAGCTGGGCAGCTGTAGTGGAAGTCCCACCTTTCAGAGAGCAACATGAGTGAAAGTCAGGAGATGTGTGAATCTTTTCAAGACAGCAAGGCTGCGTACGTTCTCAGCAATGTTGCCGAAGTGGTTGAAAGAATCCTCACCTTCATTCCGACTAAGTCGCTCCTACGGATCGCAAGGTCTGTTTATGCTAACCTGTTGGCTAACATGAGGAATTGTTTATTAAAAGTGAAAGTATTATTCCTAAACTTGTGAACTGTGGAACAAATTATAAAGCTTAAGCGAAAGATGCACTTTTTTTGGGTAACGCTTCCTTGTTGAGGGTGTAAATGGGGCAGCAGGTGGAAAAGTCTGAATGTGTTTTGTTTTATTTGTTAGCGTATGCAGACTGTGGAGAAACTGTGCCCGCAGAGTGCTCAGGACTCCGCAGCAGCTGGGCTGGGTGTCGACATGTGGACCCTCCGCCACAGAGGTGCATTCTCTCTGCAGCATCCTGGTTGAAGAAGTGGAGGTAAAAACTAATCTCACTTCAAGTAGACTTTGTTTTTAAGGGGGAAATGAGGATGAGGAAAATATGGGTAGGAAGACTCTGGTTTGTTGGAATGAAACGGAGTATCATGTCACAAACTGTATAAAAATGTGTTTTAGCTTATAAAACTCATCTGGTGTGTAGATAAGCAAAAGTCAAATTATTACACATGTTAAAAAACGGAAGAAAAGTTTTTTAAGATATTTGAAATGATGCAACAGCATCGAGATTTGGAACAAGAAGTTTACTCAATTTCAGAGTTTTTATTCCTCAAATGAAACCACTGGTTCTCAGACATTCTGTTCAAAAAAAAAAAAAAAGAAAGAAAACAGTTTGTGTTCCCCATCACAATCCCCCAGATTATCAGAACAAAATAACAATGCATTAAGTACTCAAGTGGGTGAAACATTGGGCCTCATGCAAGAACCGTTCGTACGCACAGATTTGTTCTTAAGTTGTGCGT